GGCCAGGTAGCTGTCTTCCAAATCTCTTGGCATAGCTGAATGAGTGCCTCTAGCGGGGCATCCATTTGTTGAAACATCTCAGCGGGTATTCTGTCAATTCCTGGAGACTTGTTTTTCTTCAATTCCTTCAGTGCAGCTTCAACTTCTTCCTTCAGTACCATAGGTTCTTGATCGTATGCCACCTGCTGAAATGAATGAACATTGACCAATTCTTTTTGGTACAATTACTCTGTGTATTCCTTCCATCTTTTGATGTTTCTAGCATCATTCAATATTTTGCACATGGAATCTTTCATTATTGCAACTCGAGCCTTAAATTTTTTCCTCAGTTCTTTCAGCTTCAGAAATGCCAAGCATATTCTTTCTTTTTGGTTTTCTATCTCCAGGTCTTTGCACATTTCATTACAATAATTTGCTTTGTCTGCTTGACCTACTCTTTGAAATCTTCTGTTCAGTTCTTTTATCTTGTCATTTTTTCCATTTGCTTTAGCTACTCTCTGCTCAAGGGCAAGTTTCAGTCTCTTCTGACATCCATTTTGGTCTTTTCTTCCTTTCCTGTCTTTTCAATGACCTCTTGCTTTCTTCATGATGTTCTTGACGTCACCCCACAATTACTCTGGCTTTTGGCCACTGGTGTTCAGTGCATCAAATCTATTCTTTAGATGGTCTCTAAATTCAGGAGGGATATTATCATGGTCATATTTTGGCTCTTGTGGACATGTTTCAATTGTCTTCAACTTCATGCATATGAGCAGTTGGTGGTCTGTTCCACAATCAGCTACTGGCCTTGTTTTGACTGAAGATATTAAACTTCTCCATTGCCTCTTGCCACAGATGTAGTCATTATGATTCCTGTGTATTGTATCTGGTGAAGTCCACGTGTATAGCTATTGTTAATATTGTTGAAAAAAGGTATTTGCAATGAGTAAGTTGTTGATCTTGCAAAATTCTATCATGCGATCTCCAGCATTATTTCTATCACCAAGGCCATATTTTCCAACTACTGGTAACCTTCCTTGTTTCCAACTTTTGCATTACAGTCATCAGTGATAATCAACACATCTTAATTGCATGTTCAGCCAATTTCAGATTGCAGAAGTTGGTTGTTGTTGTTGTTGTTATTTGCCACCGAGTCAGCCCCGACTCATAGTGA